TTTCAGATACAAGTATAGTTAGCATAAATTTTGGAGCAAATTTGGATGCTCAGAATGCAGGAAATGACATTTCCGGGATTCAAATTTCAAAAATTTTCTGGGGGAATTCTCCCCCAGACCACCCCCATTCATGAGTGGTATATTGGCGACACACGTCGCCTTCAGCCATTGCTATCCCCCTCTAATATATTATATCACAGAAAAGTCCCTTTTCAAAAAATGCCCCCCCCACGGGAAAATCCTTAAAAAAGGCCCTGCATTGACTTCGCCCATAAAAACATTAATTTAAGCAGATAAACAAGCTACCACAAACATTATACTGCCGCAGTCTAGCAAGAACGACGGAGTGTTGGACTTTATCAAAATCTTTTGGTATGTCTAAGTAAACAATGTCAGTTTATTTGCCAGAATCTAATAAGACACCAATGAAATCAATAACTTCAACCAACTGAGTTACACAAGATTTACCTGGAATAAATCCATGTTGTGCACGGTCTAATATATGGTCACGTAGTCTGGACAGAACACATCGTTCGAAAGCTTTTGAAATGATTGTCAGCAGCAATATTGGCCGGTAATTCTCCACATATTCTCTGTGGTCTTTCTTGTACACCGGACAAAATATTAGCCAACTGCCACTCGTCTACAAACACGCCTGTTTCTAGAGACTTATTGTACATGATGGTTAGAAATGATGCTAATTGTTCCGCTGCTTCCTTCGAAAGCCTAGCAAAAATATAATTTGGTCCAGGTGCGTACACATAGAACATACAGGGCAATTGAGGTTTTCACCTTACTAATACCACGTTCATTAACAGATAAATATTAATGAATGCATATTATTATTCTACACTTACAGACAAGAATTGCTTGTGCGTTGCCCCTAAATCGAAAATATAAAATCGGACACAGTCAGTCGATGAGGAATACCGTTTACAATCATCGTGTCAAATTTCATGACGATCGGACTAAAAATGAAGGAGACTTAGGCTTTTTTGGAAGAGTGTCGCCCCTTAAGCCTGGTTTCCATATGGTTCTAACTGTCGCGAACGTGTCGGGAAATGTTTATGCGTGTTTCCATATGGTTGTAACTGCCGTGACGCTGTCGTGCACTGACTTTTCGTCATGTTTCCATTTGGTCGCGAACACTACTCTGACGACAGTTACAACACGTTCGCGACAGTTACGACCACATGGAAACCAGGCTTTAACAACAACAATCCCAGTGTATGCCTGTTCGCGGGTTATGTAGTGACATCATGCCACTACATAACCCGCGAACAGACATACTCTGAGAGCGAGATTGTAACAACAACGACAACAAGATTAGCAGCGATTGGGGACCAGTTCCAGGTCCAAAAATGTCAGTTCAGTTACATTACTTTATGAGAAATGTGATATTCTCCACTTATTCGACTGCTGCTTAAGCCTCAATTTTCCGTATCCCTACCCGTTTTTGTCAATATGACCCCACCCTTTTGGCCCTTATTTGGATGGTTAATTTCGTCAGCTAATTCCCCTAAAAATGAATGGTCCCTTAAGCCTTCCGCAAACGAGAGCATTTGGCACGCGTACCGGTTAGCTCAAACGTTTGTTGCAAACATAAAGTAAAGTGCTGAGCTAATATTTTACTTTGCTCTAAATTTCTAAATGGTGGCAAATATCATGTATCACGTGAGAAAGATACGTACTTTTATTGGTTACTACATATTCACAGCTGAGTTTATTACTTACAACATCCGCATACCTTGCGATCCTTGCCCTGCGTGCACAAAATAATCAAACACGATAGAGTTTTTCCTCACGGTCTCGCGTGTCAGATTTCACAGCAGAACCGTTTGCACACGAGGGCTTTTATAATTATGGCTAAGATACTGCTACGCACGTAGCCGTTAGCTCAGCCAAAAGCTTGCGGCAGGCTTACTGAGTGGCAGAGAGAATATTGCTGTTGCAGCAAATTTCCATCCTTAAACCGATTTTAAACCATGTAAAGTTTCGTTACTTGAAAAACCTTGTTACAACTTAGTTTATTTGGAATAAGAAAATGTTTGGGGGAATTTGCCTCCTCCCCGCTTATGCATGTCCATCACTTACACAGAGGTCAAGATTGTCTGGATTTGAGTTCTAGAGGGCGACCCTAATTGAATATAAATTTTATAAAATAGGTTACTGCTATATATAAAGCTTATACGGTCAGTGCTTATATTGTGTGTGACACGCGAATTTAATTTATGCAGGATACCGCAGGGGCTGAACAATATCAAGCAATGTGCAGACTTTACTACAGAGGAGCAAAAGTTGCAATTATTTGTTATGGTAATTGTTTAACATTGAATTTATTAATAAACATGAGCCATTCTCTAGCCAATCATTTATTAAAGGTATATATTTACAGTAGCGCATGTATTTACCGTACCACATGTATTTACCATAGAAATATTACACCTAGATTGCGTGCTTGGTCACGTGACCGGTGTCCAAATTGAAAACAAAAATGCCCTTATAAATCCGCCATGTTGAATTTGAGCAAGGAGTGCCAAATTACAAAGTATAAACAAAGCTGAAACTAAGTTTTCATCGTCAAAACATTTTGTCTTGCTGTCTAATTTGTAGTTTGGGGATTGATTTTGAAATATTATTCTTTAAAGGCTCAAAGCAAATGTACAGTTACTGACAAAAACGGTGAAAATCGTGCACTCTGTAAAAACAAAGTAGTTTCGCGTATTAAAATATAATTTACTCATAAAACATTTTTGCCTGCTCTGAACGTAACTGCTTTGCTAATATTTTATTAAACTAGGAAATGATAGTTCATTTTTCGTCGGGTTTCGTTTTTCTTCAATTTAAACGAAGTGTTTTCATGTTTTTGAAACAAAAATATTTAGTTATCGATAAACGGCCCCTAATAATCGTTGAAAACTATGGTTTCAAAAGCGTTGCCTCAAGCTCAAGCAACGTAAAAAATATAAAAAAGTAGTTGTGAAAGTTTAAAAAGATTACTAAACTTCATTTATATTTATATAAAACAGCTGAAATATTTTCAGAACATACCTATCGAGTTTGAGTTTGTCTTGATCTTTCGTGCTTTGTATTGGCTTGCACAACAACGTTGAAAACGACGATTTCTGTATATATTCTGTTCAGAACTATTGCTTTTCGTAAAAAACCCACTGGAATGGGTTTTTTCTCTTTTAAAAAACTTTTTTCCCACTTCAAGTCTCGATATAATTGTTTTTGCAAACTTTGTTTAAAAAAACCAATTCGCACCCCCTGCAACCGCGCGAAATTCCTTACCGCAGGAATCTGGGACTAGCCAAAATGCCCTTATAAATCCGCCATTTTGTGGAGACAAAGTTTTTCTGAGAAAAGATAGGAGCACGCATTCTATGCCTATTATTTCTATGATATTTACTTACCAAGGCAGTTGTGCATCTGCATTTAGGAAAAAAAACATATTTGGGTTTTGCTTATCAAATTTGTTCCCCAGCTCAATTCTTTTTTTGAATACCGCAGATTTGACGGACTCCAGTAGTTTTCATAGAGTGAAATTTTGGGTCAATGAACTTCGTAAACATGAAGAGGTAAGCAGTATACAAGTTTTTGGTTTACCAAAGTTCAGTTCTCTGTAAAAACTATCTACCAATTATAGTTATCACTAAACTAAAACCAGCTCTTCAAATTTCACATACTGCACTGTTAACCAATTATCGCCCAAGACTTTCCCCTCTTCGAGTAAAGTTGTCTGGCGTTAGACGGAGTAAAATATTAAGTTGCATTGGAACGCTTTAAGGCGTAGTGGGATCAATAATAGGATTCCTATAAAGTTAAATGCCAAAACCAAAATCAAATACATGAGTTCAAACTATATTTAACTCATGTTTCGCTCGCTACTCTGGTTTAAATAAATTATTACAAAGCGCAGTCAAATTATAATCAAGACCCAACGTTTCGTTTTAAACCAGAGTAGCGAGCGAAACATGATTGATATACCTGGTTGCAGTGAACGAACAAACTTTAAATATATTTAACTCATTAATTTACTGATGATATAAACAAATACGGCTTAAAAATAGCCAAGTCTCCATACCTTAAAACTGTCTCGAATTCATTCATTCATCCTTCCTTTCGTAGTCCATTATTTGCAGAATTACTGTGCTATTATAACACTAACATAGACAGAAATTGTAATCAATCAATTCAAAAGAAGTTTTGTAGGATAAAGTTGAGCCAATGGCAATGCCCGTATTTTTTGGTGTGTAAGGTTGCTACTACAGTGCGGTGTTGTACTGCAAAATGGTTTGCTTGAATTTTTCAGAATTGTTCAATATTTTTATGTGGTACAAAGTTGGATTTAACTCAGCAAAACGAAGGAGCGCGACAGGTTACCTATCATAGCACAACAGATTATGCTAACGGTGAGAAATTGTATATGTACTTTAAATTAAACCAAATGAGGAAAGTTACATTTTATTCACAATTGCCATTAACCTAATTACAACTCATGGTATTAATATTCTTTCAAATCGTTAAATCATTTCTCCCTAAAAGTTTACCATAAGGTAAAAGAGCGGAGGTTGGCCCTGCCATTATGAGAATCCGCACAATGTGTGAAAGGATTAGCGTTTCAGGTGTTGGTAACCATAGTGTTGATGAATTGATGACATAAATTTATTATCGAACCTTGGTACTTATTTGTAATAGTATCCTCGAAACAAAACTTAGTTTAATATTAACCACTCAATTAGTTTCTTTAATATCTCGACTTCATATTACGCATTTCAAATTGTTTTCGTCATATAAAAACAAAAATTGTGCGCCAAACTCGAATATTGCGTGCCAACACAACATTTGAGCCGCGCATCAATCAACGATGTTCAAGCGAGTGTTTGCACACAACTTAGATGATAATAAAAATTGGTACGCATACAATAAATCGCTTCTTGGCTACCAAAATAATCACAACCCTGAGGGTAGTAAAACATTCAAGTGTTTTCCATCAGAGGTTAAACGGGTCAAACTTGAGGTCTTGCGAGACGACAAAAGTCGCCAAGTATCACATCGCCATTTCCCTGCCGGGGTGAAGTCGAACGTGGAAGATGTCTTAATTTGCCATATATCCACTGACTCTTGGTATTGTTGTCCTCTCCTTGCAACACAGTTGTGAAGGTTGGTATCAGTCAAGTTTGGGAAGCTACATCCTTAGCCGTGTTAACCGAGCAGTTAGAGTTTGTATTTGATTGTTTAACACATGCTTGTGTGATGTTACTCTGAGTGTGTATGCACACCGGGCAGGCTTGAAAAATATGCCTGGCCACGGTGGGATTCGAACCTACGACCTTTGGAATACTAGCCCAACGCTCTGCCAACTGAGCTACGCGGTCAGGTCGGTTTGAGTATGCGATATTTCGGAACTGAGTCTAGTTATTATTATTATTATTATTATTATTATTATTGTTATTATTATTATTATTATTATTATTATTATTATTATTATTATTATTTGAGTTTTTGGCCGATCTTGTGAAAATTTCGATGGCATGCTAAGTAGCCTTAAATGTGATGCCAAGTATAGTAAATACATAAAAAAGAAAATCGTGAACATATGCATACGAACATCATATTATGTATTTTGTAAACGAAACAAGGTGTGGGATAACCCAAAATTAATGTTAATATAATCCTTCTAAAAATAATTATTGTACAATAAATATATAGTATCAATTCAAGTAGACATTGATAAACTACCTGTAAAGCGAGGTTTATCATTGTAGTTGTATATATCCTAATAATCAATAAATAAAGTTTCCATTATTATTATTATTATTATTATTATTATTATTATTATTATTATAACATCTTTATACACGGTAATTAATCAACCATATTAACTATCAGTATTTACAAAAATTATAAAGGTTGTTTTTCATTAGGCCGTGTTACTAAATACAAATTAAAACTCGAAATACTATTATAAACTATTATAAAAATATTAAAAGATACTAAGAAATGTTTGGGTCGAAGCGATACGTTAAATATATATATATTACAAATGAATTAAGTAGATTTAAAATTTTTACTATTATAGTTCCAGTCTTTAGCAGCAGCATATCCGAATGTCCTTTTCATTGAATTTGTTTTAGGCTTCGACAACATCAGCATCTTGTTATTACTTCTTAAATTATATTTATCAGAATTTGAGATTTTAAACATAGTTGAAACGTTTTCAGGACATTGGTTTGAAAGGGCTTTGGCCACATATGCTAATTCTTGCTCCTTTCTTCTCTCTTCGAGTGTTTCCCAATTTAATTTCTTTAAAATATCAGTGGAGCGAATTTCATAGGTATCACCTGTGATTACTCTAGCTGCACGGTTTTGTAGTCTCTGTAGCTTTTCTTTTGAACCTTCGCCACAGTTTCCCAAAGCATGGAGCAGTAATCAAAACTCGGTTGCACTAAAGCCTGATAAATATATTTAAGAGTTTCAAGAGAGACAAATGGCTTTGCACGGCGCAGCATACCAATGCCCTTCGATACCTTTTTACTGATGTTGTCGATTTGCTCATTCCAACATAGATTGTCATCAATCAGTACACCTAAAGTCTTTTTGGAATAAACCTGTTTCAATAATTTCCCCCCGCATGATACGCTGGTATTTTTTTGAATTTTAGCTAGTCTTTGACGGGTTCCAATGATCATGTATTGTGTTTTTCAATGTTTAAAGTTAGCTTGTTTGAAAGAAGCCACTGGTGAATATTTTTCATTTCAGAATTTAGTGCTTCCTCCAAATTATTAAGGCTATCTGAACATACTGTAAGATTTGTATCATCTGCATACATTGCCGGACAAGATTTATCCAAGCAATTTGGCGTATAATAAAATTGACGTATAATAAAATTGATGTATAATCATTGACGTATAATAAAAACAAAAGGGGACCAAGGTTCGATCCCTGGGGAACCCCACAACGTATTTTCCTGGTGGACGATGTTGCACTGTTCACCCTGCAGTATTGCGTTCTGTTATGCAAATAAGATTTAAACCAATCTAAGGCCTTATTTTGGATTCCATAGATAGATAATTTACTTAGGAGAATTCCGTGATCAACCGTATCAAATGCTTTACATAAGTCCAGAAAAAGTACTCCGTTTATCATCCCAGCATCCATGTTAAGTAACCATGAATCCGTATTTGCTAAAAGGGCTGATGCGGTGGAATAATTTTTACGGAAACCAGACTGACACGAACTCAGAATATTATTTTCAGTTAAAAAGGAATTGAGCTGTGTACAGACAAGTTTCTCAAATAACTTAGCAATAATCGAAAGAATGGAAATCGGTCTATAATTGCCTCGATTTTTTTTTGTCACCAGATTTATGAATTGGAGAAATTCTTGCAGTCTTAAGATCATCAGGGAAAATTCCATGTTTGAGTGAAGTATTAAAAATAAATACTAAAAAAGGCGCCACGGCATCACTCGCATCTTTCAAAAGTTTGGCTGGGATATTATCATGTCCAGTTGACTTAGACGTCTTTAATTTCTCCAGTGCATTTAACACTTCATTGATATTAATGTTTTCGAAATTGAACTTATGTTGAGTTTTAAATTGCATATAACGTTTAAAATCAGTGTTAGTTTCCGTGATCTGGTTCGACAGATTTGGTCCTATATCAGTAAAATATTCATTGAACAAGTCAGCTATAGTTTCATTTTCAGTAATAACCTGTTCGTCTATTTGTAGTACTGATATATTTGTTGATCTAGAATTTTTATTAACTAACTGATTAATATGTTTCCACATTTGCTTTGTATTATTTCTGTTTCTGTCAACACAGTTTGTGTAATAATCTCGCTTTGCATACATAATTTTTTTGTTA